AAATATACCCCCATTTTATTGTGAAGATAATAATAATTAAACAATATCTTCTTCATAATATGCCTGTATTTCCCCACAAATAGCCATTAACGCCACTTTTATCTCTTGCAATTATTTCGTCTATCTCCATACATTCAGATAAAAAACATTGTATTGCTATAAATCAGCGTTTTTAACTGTCCGTTGAAGAAACGTAATTTTTTAATTTATTTTCATACTGCGCCAATTTCGATGGAAGAAAATCATAGTCAATAGAAATTAGAAATCTCCATTAGCGATCTTACCAAAACAGTCAAGAAAACAAAAATAAACACACAATTGAAAGAAAAACATGAGCATTGCAAACGAAAGAAGTTTTAACCTGTTGCGGAATAGTGCGCATGTGCAGAGGTTAAGAATGTTGCCAATTGTATTGAAATAGAATGGCCAAAGACACGCAAACAAAGAAAAAACCAATTGAAAAGGAAAAATGGCAAATTGAGTTACAAGTTGAGTGAAGGTTAAAAAAAAAGAGAAAAGTATCTAACATGAGCAGGAGCGACAAAAGTGGCATTTGAGTTGGAAAATCAAAAAAAAAAAAAAAAAAAACAAATGCTCAATATAACTCAGATGTAAGAAAAATAATAATAAGAATAGTGTCATGGACCCAGAAGTCAGATGAGAATACTTCATACCATAAATTTATTTCGGGAGAGCTCCCGTAACAAAAGAATTTATTTTAAGTAGATCATACCACCTATCAACATTTGGCCTAGAGCTGTTATAATTTGGTTTCAAAGGGAATACTAGTTACGAGGCATATCCAATCCATTTGGGCTGATATAAACCATTATTGCACAATAAACCTGAAATCGGATTGAGGATGTATATGGGAGCTATATTCAAATCTAAGCCAATCTCAAAAAAAAAAAAAAAAAAAAAATGCAAAGGTTTTTCCAAGTTCTTTAAAATATCTGGTACTAAATATCATTGTTGTTGAATGTATAACACGAACTTGAACACCAAATCGGATGAAACATATATATGGGTGCTATAGCTATATCTAAACCGATTTTCTCCAAATTTCATGTACATGCTTCTAGACTGAATTCGGTTAGATGCACCAAAATTTATGAATTTTAAACATATATTGGCCATTTTGTGCACAATTAACCCGAAATCGGTTAAAGATATATATGGTAGCTATATCCAAATCAGAACCGAACAAAATTTCATACACTTATTTCAAAGCTGTAGCTGATATCTAGTACCAAATATCATTGTTATGGAATGCATATTACGCGTGTGAGGGACTTTAAACCCCTAATCGGTTGAAACATATATATATAGGAGCTATAGCTATATCCGAACCAATTTTCTTCAAATTAAATGAACTTGCTTCTAGACTGAATTCGGTCAGATGTACCAAAATTCAGGTTTTTTGGGCAGACATTGGCCATTTGGTGCACAATTAACCCGAAATCTTTTGAAGATATATGGGAGCAATATCTAAATCTGATCCGATTATCACCAATTTCAATAGGATGTTGTTGGCAAAATTTCATTTCAATCGGATAATAAATGCGACCTGCATTTTGTTCAGAAGAATACATGAAAGGACGGACTGACATGCATAAATCTAGTCAGAAAGTGATTCTATGAATATCCTTCTCCCTGTTACAAACAAATGCACAAAGCCATAATACCCTTACCAATATGTAGTGTAGGGTATAGTTAGACCATGGTACTAACGAACGTTTCAGCGGTTAAATATTATATGGAAATATCTACCGTCCTCATCTAACTTTCGTGACCAATCTGACACGTAAGAGGGGGCTAATACATTTAAATTCTACGCTTAGAATTTTACGCTTATCATGTGCTACCAACGGAATAACAAATTTTATGTATCCTATTTTCGATGTTGCAGATTGAAGTAGCTTGGAAGAGTAACTAAAATTGTTGAGCCGTCGGAAAGAACTTTATTTTGGTACATGCCTTATCACTCTTGGTGTGTAGGCTTGTGATAAGACAAGGTTTTTGGATATACGTACTTTTTGGATATAAAATGTACGAAGAGTACTGAAATGTACTAAACATTTGAAGAATGAGCTAGTTAACAGAAATATTGAATGAAGGTTACTGATGGAGTGCAGGATATATGCATCAAAAATTTTTTTTAGAAATTCGAACTTTAAGATTACGAATAGTTCTATAAACGTACTAAACTTCTAAAATGCTACCATTCTAAATGCTACCATTCTAAATGCTACCATTCTAAATGCTACCATTCTAAATGCTACCATTCTAAATGCTACCATTCTAAATGCTACCATATATTGTGTCAGTGGATGGAGTTTAAAACTTGACATTTGATATGAGAATCAAGTTTGGAATGTTGGTTTTATATATAAAGGTGGTTTTGGAAATTTATCATATATTTGTGCGAACTGTACTTAACGGTACTAAAGTTAGAACAGTTTGGTTTAGGGTGAAAAGCTGAAGCTGGAAATTTAAAATTTTGCATTGGGGACTATGTCGGTGAGTACTATATTTGGAAAGTACTATATTTGGTATTCGGAAAGTACTATATTTGGTATTGGATGAACAGAGAGTGTTTGACATAAGGGTCACTGTTTTTGTGTAGTCTGGACGTATGGAGTTGGGTTCGAAAATGTGTGTACCATATTTGTACGAAAATTACCATATTTAGTATGGGGTGAAGGGATAAAGATAATATTCTGAAATTTAATATTAAGATCACTGACGGTATCTGTGTTTGAGATTTGGCGGAGGTTGGGAAATGCGTCCTATATTTGTACGAAAAGTACTAATTTGCTTTTGGGCTATGGAATAAGGCTTGGTGGCTAAGATATGGAGTTGGTTTTTTAATTGTTCAAAATGCACTAAATTGGGTATTGGGTTAAGATTTGGAAGAGCTGGAATAGAGAAATTTGATATTAAGGTCTCTGTTGGTAACTGGGATTGAGATGTGGAGGTGGTTTTTGAAATGTGTACTATTATTTTACGAAAAGTAGTAAATATTAGTAAATTTGGTATTGAGTGAAGGTGTAGAGATAAATTTCTGAAAATTTGATATTAAGATTACAAATGGCATCTGTGTTTGAAATATGGCGGAGGTTTGAAAATGTGTCCTATCTTAGTATGAAAAGTACAAATCAGTACTAAATGTGGTATGGGGCGAAGAATTATGACTGGAATCCTCAACTTTGGTAGTGGAGCCCCTGTTGGTATATTTAATTGAGATGTGGAGATGATTTTGGAAATTCGTACAATAATTGTACGAAAAGTAGTTAGTAGTATTAAATTTGGTTTTGAATGCAGGGATAAAGCGGAAGTTTGATATTGAGGTCACAGTTGGTTTTGGAAAGAAAAATTAGATGTGGATCGCTGTTCATATGTAGCCTGCACATATGGAGGTTGTTTCGGAAATGTGCATAATAATAATAATACAAAAAGTACTAAATAGTACTAAATTTACTATCAGGTGAAAGAAATCCTGCAATTTGATATAGTTGTCACGTTTGGTGCTTCTGGTTAAGAGATGGAGTTGGTTTTGGAAATGTGTACCAGAAATTTTCGCAATGTACTAAGTGGTACGAAATTGGGTATTGGTTGAAGAGATAGAGCTGGAATGGCGAAATTTGATATTGATGTCTCTGTGGGCATCTGGGATTGAGATGTGTACTAATAGTACCAAATTTGGTATTGGGTGAAGGGAAGAGCTGAAATTTGATAATGAGGTCACTTTTGGTTTTGCAAAGAAAAATTTGATATGGGTCGCTGTTCATGTGTAGCCTGGACATATTGAGGTGGTTTCGAAAATGTGCGCAATAATTGTACAAAAAATACTAAATTGTACTAAATTCGGTACTAGGTGAAGGTATAGGTTTAAAATTCCGAAAATTTCATTTTTAGATTAGTAATGGTATCTGTGTTTGAAATTTAGTGGTGGTTTGAAAATACACCCTATAATTGTGCGAAGATTATTAAACAGTACTAAATGTGGTATTGGATGAAGTTAGAGGGCTGCAATCCTCAAATTTGATACTGAGGTCTCTATTGGTATTTGGAATTGAGACATATAGTTAGTGATAGGGTTGGACTCTTCAAATTTAATATTAAGGTGTCTGTTTGTAATTGGGAACTTAGATATGAATGTGGTTTGTGAAATGTGAACCATAATTTTTCCAAAAAAACTAAGTGGTACCAAATTGTGTATTGGGTGAAGGGATAGAGCTGGAATGCCAAATAGGTCTCTGTTGGTATATGTTATTAAAGTTTTTGAAATGTGTACTATAACTGTATGGCAAGTACTAAATAGTACTATATTTAATGTTAAATGAAAGGGATAGAACTACAATTCTGAAATTTGATATTGGAGTCACTGTTGGTTAAAAGAGTTTGGGACAGAATAATTCGATGTGGGTCAATGGCGCAAAAACGTTGCTAATAATATCCTCTGTAATCTTTAAAATGGAAGATTTTTTGATGATTTGACGAGTTTTTGTTGTAAAAGGGGCTAATTTTCCCATTATTCCTTTCGAAGGAGGAAAACCTTGAAAATTACATAAAATCTTGAAATTCTGAAAATTTAGATCGATGCATGAGGTTTTGATTAAATTTTTTTGTCAACTTGAAGAAATGGTGCACTTTGAGTGCTAAAAACCCCTAACTCGAATGGTTGGAACAAATCTAAATAAACTCTAGGTTAAAGGTGAAAATTGAAGATATCGGTCCTCTTTTCTGGTAAACTAATTAAAATGATGAAAATCGGTGTAGTCCTTCGCAAACCTACCCCAACACTAGTTCGAAATTTTGAAAAATAATGACTCTCATATTCTGTAAAAATTGATTATCTATCTAAAGTTGATTCCCAACGGACCGCCGTTCTCTCGAATTTTTCCCAGTATTTCCATTAGCACAAAAACAACAAGTAATTTTACTTATAACAATTTAACTTTATTAACAAAAAACAGTTTTTAACAAATTACTTCTATTTAAACACGTTGACGGTAGACACGACGACGCAAAGTCTTGTAACGGTAGCCATCTTCAGCAACTTCGACAGATGGAGCTGGGGCAGAGGCAGCTGGTGGGATGTAAGTGTTGGCGGGGGCAGAAGCAGCTGGAGGAATGTAGGTGTTGACAGGAGCCGATGGAGCAGGGGCGGGAGCTGCTGGTGGAATATAAGTGCTGGCGGGAGCAGAGGCAGCTGGTGGAATGTAGGTGTTTGCAGGAGCGGCGGCTACGGGCACGGAACTGCTGTAACCAGCCTCACCACCAAAATCGCCATGTACTTCGGTGGCAGCTGGAGCATGATAATCGTAGCCACCCAATTCGGAGACATCGGCCAAAACACAGCCCAACAAAGCCAAGGACAAAATGATGAATTTCTAAAAATCAAATCACAAAAATTTACGTTTTTTATAATTTCGAAAAAAAAATGTTTGGCAAACTTTGAAAATATTACCATTTTTGCAAAAGAGTTTAGTTTTTTGTTTTACTTGTTCACTGTAGAACTATGAAACTGTTTGTGATATAGATTCGATATACGATCTCAGGTTTTTATATGTTTAATGTATTCATTTAAAATTCAAAACTTCATCAATGGATTTGTTAATTTTTTAGGAGAATCTTTGACAATTCAATGCAAATTTCTGTGAATGATGAATTGTTTGCAAACTCTTAATTCCATTCACCCCAGAAAACGCTATAGATTTTTTTGTTTGTTTTATTAGTCGCAATAGAAACCGAACAATTATCATATTAAAATATTTGATTTCAAAATGTATTTTCCATACTTCCGAATATTTAATAGCAGAATCGGAACTTCATTAACAATATCCATGTATTGTTTGTATGCACGACGATATCAATAGATATTCTTTGTACTGAATTATAAAGATGAAGCTTTTGTAAGATAATATGATGTAGGGTGCAAACATAAAAGAATGGGCGAAGACAAACCTATAGGATGTAAGTTGTGACCAACTAACATTGGCTTAATAGATATATGGATCATTTATGTTCGAAAAATAAAAAAAATGATTTTAAACAATTTTTCCTACCCTCCATAGCTATAGGAGGGCATATATCATTTGGGGCGGCAAAAATATCAGTATGTCTGGCTGGCGGGTCCAAAGGATAACTTCGTGTACCCCTTCTTCGTGTACCCATGTAAAAATTGTAATATAAAATTTCAAATTTGGCACATCACACAATTTTTGTTAGGCTCAGGTTACGAAGGAAAATGTTCATTATCGGTCCACCCTTCTGATAACGAATCAGCGATTTTCTTAAAACTATGTACTTTTAGTATTATTGTTATGGCGATGATAATAATCTACGTTTTCAAAATAATACTAATCTTATAAATGTCGTAGTCGTTCTTAAACATCGCATATCCCAATTATGTAAAACATTTTGGTCCTCTATGGGATTTTGGCTCCGTAAGATCATTAACAAATTTCTGAATTGCATCATTTTCTGTAAAATAGTTCATGATTTTTAGATGTGGTAGGGCAAGCTTCTGCATCGTTCTATTTTTCAAGGCCCCTTGGAAGTGGTTTAAGAAGGGATATCCTTGAATTTAAATTTTTTCAATAAAAATTTAGATCTAACAAGTGCTCGCTACTTCGTCAGCGGAAAGTCCATGTTAAAATTTTGGATTCCAACAGTTCGTGTTAGGTCTCCACCATAGAATGGAGGATATATGAAATTTGTCATTCCGTTTGTAACACCTCGAAATATACATTATAGACCTCATTATATATATATATATATATATATATATATATATATATATATATATATATATATATATATATATATATATCTATAAAAGAGGAAAATGTTTGTACGTTTGTTTGTTTGTTTGTTTGTTTGTTTGTTTGTAATTTATGGACTCGAAAACTGCTGAATAGATTTTTCTGAAAATTTCCACATATACTGCAACATCGCCTGAAAGTAACATAGGCTATATAAATTTTTGAATTTCCACTTGGAACTGGAGATATAGCATCAGAATCGGAGGTACCTCCCAAAAATTTAGATTTTATATGCACATATCTATTGATCGGTTAAAGATACAGTCTCCAAATTTGGAATGTGTAACGGAATTTGGAACAAAAATAAGTTTGCCAAATTATATTGTAATCGGTTCAGATTTGGATATAGCTCCCATATATATTTTCGACCGATTTCGTTCATTTGATGCCTCAAACACAATATGAATGTTCGATTCCAATGAAATTTGGAATATGTGACGGGATTTGATCCGAAAATAAATTTGTCAAATTATATTGAAATCGGTTCAGATTTGGATATAGCTCCCATATATATTTTCGGCCGATTTCAAGCATTTGATGCACCAAACACGCTATGTATCCCCAATTTCAATAAAATTTGAAACGTGTGATAGATTTTATCTAAAAAAATTTATTTCCCAAATTATATTGAAATCGGTTCAGATTTGGATATAGCTCCCATATACATTTTCGGCCGATTTCATGTGATTGGTGGACCAAACAAGATATGTATGTCCAAATTTAATGAAATTTAAAATAAGTAACGGAATCGGGAGCAAAAATGAATTTTTCAAATTATATTGAAATCGGTTCAGATTTGGATATAGCTCCCATATATATTTTCGACCGATTTCATGTATTTGATGCACCAAACACGCTATGTATCTCTAATTTCAATGAAATTTGAAATGTGTAGCGGAAATTAAAACAAATATACATTTGTCAAATTATATTAAAATCGGTTCAGATTTGGATATAGCTCTCATATATATTTTCGACCGATTTCAAGTATTTTATACACCATACACGATATGTATGTTCGATTTCCAAGAATTTTGGAATATGTAACGGGATTTTGATTAGAAAATAAATTAGTCAAATTATATTAAAATCGGTTCAGATTTGGATATAGCTCCCATATATATTATCCGCCGATTTCACATATTTGATGCACATTTGACAAATTATATTCAAATACGCTCAGATGTGATTATAGCTCCATATATATACTCAGCCGATTTCACATATTTGATGCACCCAAAGCGAGAGAGACAAAATCTGACACCAGCAAAAATTGCACAATTATATTGAAATCAGTTGAGGTTTGGATATAGCTAACATATATATTTCGGCCGATTTCATATATATTATGCACCAAACACGATATATATGACCGATTCCAATGAAATTCAGAATGTGTGGCGGAATTTTGTTATAATAATAAATGTGATAAATTAATTGGAAATTAGTTAAGATTTGGATATAGCTCCCATATATATATTCTCGGCCGATTTCACATATTTGACGCACCAATTTCAATTAAATATGAAAGGTGTAGCGGAGTTTGGTGTAAAAGTAATTTTTTTTAAATTATATTTAAATCGGATCAGATTGGGATATGATTTTAATAAGAACCATTGACCCACAACGCCTTAGGCTAACACTAAAAAACAATACAACCATTTATTTGAAATACGCTTATTACGGCGAAGTATGTTGCTATCTCGAATTCACTACTTGCAATAGAAATGCCACTCTACTTAAAAAAATTGCAGTTTCCTGCACGCTTGGTATTTGCTATGAAATAAATAAATCCAAAGGACAAACCCTTCGTGTATGCATGTCATGTCACTGCTTTTGTAACGATTTTGTTTATTAACGCATTAAATTAGTGCAATATTTTTTTTTAATTTTTAAATTTGTTTTTCTTTATCCAATATATATTCGTAAATAAAATTTTGAATGCATATAAAATCAAAAGGGGTAGCGAAGCGCACCGGGTTCAGCTAGTATATATATATATATATATATATATATATATATATATATATATATATATATATATATATATATATATATATATATATATATATATATATATATATATATATATATATATATATATGTTCTTGATCAGCATAAATCTCTATGTCGATTTAGCGATATCCGTCTGTGGAAATCACTCTAGCTTCCGAACGAAATAAAGTAGGTTGATAAAATATTACTCAAATATGTATTATGTCTGAAGGACTTTTGGTGTTGAAAATGAGTGATGTAGGTCCACGTTTTGGTATAGCCCCCATATAATGGGCCCTCCCTTTTTTCCGCATTTTGGTGATTTAAACGACATTATTCACCGGAAATGTTTCAAATTTGGTAGTTGAAGTTCGTAATGGGTACTTTAGCCTATGACAGAAAATTGTCTGTGCAGGTCCACGTCTTCGTATAGTCCCCATATAACAGTACCTCCCTATATTCGGTATTTGAATGATTTTAGCGATATTATTTACCGGAATTGTTTCAAATTTTGTATTTGAAGTTCATAACGGATGCTATCACAGAAAATGTGCTGTCTGTGCAAGTCCACGTTTTCATAGTCCCCATACTTTCAAAGATTTATATATTATTTAAGTTTTTTCGTTTTCAGAAGGAAATAATAGGAAAATGTTTAACTTTTTCACCAAAAAGTCTTCAAAATCTTCCATTTTGAAGTAAAATAAAAATAGCATTTAAGTAAAACCATCGCAACATGGGCACACACAATTTTTCTGTATAAATTAATTTCAACGTCTCCATATGTAAACCCTAGTAACCAACAATGAAGTTTCAAAATTACAGCTCTATCCCTTAACTTAACACCAAATTTAGTACCACTTAGCATTTTTTTTGTACAACTTAGGATATATTTTCAAACCACCACCAGATACCAACAGAGACATATATATCAAAGTTCGGGATTTCAGCTTTAACCAATCACTCGACAGCAAATTTCATACCACTAAGTACTTTTCGAACAAATGTAGTACACATTCCAAAAGCCACCTCCAAATTATAACCACACACACCAACAGTGACGTAAGTAGAAAATTTCAGGATTTCAGCTCTATTCCTTCAAACAATACTAATAAAGCCACCTCCATATCTGAGTCCTAGATGCCAAATTAGACCTCATTATCAAATTGCTCTATCCTTTCATCCAATACTCAATCTAGTACTACTTAGTACTTTCCGAAAAATTATAGTACACATTTCCAAAACACCGTGAAATCTCAAACACAGGTACAACCAGTAATCTTAACATCAAATTTCAGAATTTTATATCTGTCCAATCATCTGTGCTATTCAAAACCATTCATTCAATTATCGTACCCAATCCTCCATGTGTCCAGGCTACATACAGCATGAGAAAAAAACTGCAACAAAGTCAAACGCCATAATTTTTATTTTTTAAATTTTATTAAATGAAAGCAAAAAATTCAAAAATTCGAATTTATTCACCTTTGGCACGAATTTTGGCCATCAAACGGCCAATGCAACCGTCACACGCTACCCGGCTCTGCGGTATTTTGGTCCATTCCCGGCAAAGC